GTTCACATGTTTTGAAGAGCTGGTCCTGATAGTGATGCTGTTGACACCCACCTCATCTAGCAAAGTCAGATGCTGAAACAGTGTAATTCCAATACCATGAAATGAACTTGTTGTTGTACATGATGGGTGTGGTTTATATTGTCCACAGACTGTTGTGAAAGCTTTAATTTGCAAGTTGTTTGAAACAATTACTGAGGTTTCAGCAGTACTCTGTCATATGAGCTGCAAATCAAGTTCAATCATGTTATCAGTCAGTCACATTTTCGGGTATGTGCATACACTATTATTCCTGTGCAAATGGGAATGGTGACTCCTGACTCCAGTTGGGAAGCATAATGATAGATGATGGTTTTTAGGCATGTGCTGTTGTCATAGGCCTGGGCAATATTATCACTTACCTTTGAGGAATAACTACATCAATTAGTATCATGTAAAGTAACAGATTAATCTAAATTATGATTCAGTCAATTAATTGAAATTAATGCTTGTAATTATTACTTTTTACATTTATTCCAACAATCGATCAGTGAAAATTATAATTAAATAGGTTCTTATGAAAGTAATCAACTAATCAAAATTAGCTTTTTCAGTTATTCTGACAGTCGATTGATCAAAATTAGTTAAATTGTTGTCAAAAAATAATCAACTAATTGCAATCAGTGTTTTTGATTATGATTAAGTCAATTAATCAAAATTAATGTCTCCAACTGTTACTTTTTACATTTATTCCAACAATTAATTAATGAAAATTATAATTAAATTGATTCTCATGAAAGTCAAGAACTAATTGAAATCAGTGTTTTTGATTATTTCAACTTTCCAAATAATTGAAATATTGACAACAAACTTGCTTGTCTCATATTTGTTATGGCAAAGCTACTAAAGCTATCTGCCACGTTCACTAATTTTGAACTACTGACTAAAGGGAAGGCAGCTAGCTGGCAGCATCTGTGTCAACTCTTTTTTTTTTCTGCTTGTATGTACCATAGTTTGAGGAACACTGTACCCATTGATTAGTCAAATGTATTCAATTAATGAGGTTGCTGATCAATCTATTAGCAAATACCACTGTTTGCATCATATTTATTAATGTCTCAATTAAATCATTGTCACAAGAATAATCAACTAATTTCAATCAGTGTTTTTAATTATGATTAAGCCCATTAATCAAAATTTATGTCTCCAATTGTGTATTTTTGTAAGTTTCATTATTTCTTTGGTAGACCAAATATATCCTGTCAGTTTGTTGTGAAGGAATCTTCAAACAGAATAATTTGTCAAAAAGCCTACATACCATATGAACTGGTTGTGCTTAACACATAGCATCACTGTCATTACTCTTATTTATCAAGCCTCTTACAGAACTCTCCCTACAGCAGAAATGCAGATCAATAGAACGTCTTTCCTTTAAGGGTAAGCTTGAAGAGCTTCTCGTTCAGGCACATTGAATAAACCCCTTCTCCTTTATGAATTCCAAGTTGTCCCAGTTGCAATCAGCACATTTTCACCAAATCACTTAATTTTAATAAATGAGTGCCTATCTCATTAACTTCTTCTTTAATATGTATTACAAGTTAGGCAAGTACAATGCTATTGAACATATCATTCTACTGACTTTTGAATGGTGGTTGACTTTCCATAGTTTTGACACTGTCACATAATGATACCAAGCATTGTAGATGGTTTCTTTCATTTCGATACAAATTACATCACCTGCTATAAGTTTAACTAACAGGGTGGCAATTGATCTGTCTCTACTGTCAAGGTTAAAAGTACTTACTTGATGTAGTCCTTCAGGTTTTACAGATTCTTTGCAGAAGAAGCATTTAGTTAACTGAGTTTTGATAATTTGAAGCCTGCATGATTTATTTTTTTCCACAGTACTTATTATTCATTTGACTTGCTTTATTTTTTCCTTTGAAGAGAAGTTAACTTAGTTTCATTGTAGTTGTTTTTACAAGCCTTTTGCCATTTTGCTTTTCCTTTTGCAACTGTTGTACTAAGATCATCACCTATGTTCAATGGATGAAGTCTGGTAATTTTCCATTCTCATGAAAATTGTTCAGGTAATCTGCAAGGGTATTGTAACCTGAACTGTCTTTATGTTTGAATTCAGATGGACATATTAGTCTCTTATTTGTGAATCCTTGAAAGAAAAGGTACATTGACCTGCCTATATCCATCACATTTGAAGCATTTCTGTGTTTGAGCATGTCAGCATGAAGTTGAACAGTTGGCTTCATTGTAATCATATAATCAAATGAACTAGCTCCACATGTAACCTGAAAGCCAAAGGAATATAACTATGCTGTCACTCTGTCAAACCACTTACAGATTCTTTCGCTCTCTTGTACAGCTGCTGCAATCATCACTATTACAACTGTCCGAGATCATTACATTGTATCATAACTGTTCACTCTTAAGAAACAGACCTGCAGTGATATCACACTTTTCAAATGTTACTGTACCAGAGAGTGAATGGAGTAAAAAGTATTTTAATAATAACCTACAATGACAATCTTGGTCACAACACTAAAATGTTACTTTTTAACTAATCTATGGTTTCAAGTACACTTATATTTGACAATTTCTGCTTGAGGGTTGTTAAATGAAAAATAACTTCAAAGCTGATAGTAAAAGAAAACAAGTGAGAAAAATCATATCTTTAGTTATTAAAATGTTGATAATGTTACTAAATTACTGGCCAACTGGCATCTGAAGTAGATAACAAGAAAGTCAAAGCAAGAGGACAAAACAAAAGAGAGAGAGAGAAATATGGAAATACCAGAATTTTATAGTTTCGCTAAAATCTTGGTAAAGTATCCCACAAGCTCATATGTTACAAACTAGTTGTATAGGTTGCTATAGTACCTGTTTGAATAAGCTCACTGCCTAGAAGTCTGTCATGATATAACAGACTCTTTGGTTTAAATATTAGTGATTAATGTATATTTGTAAGTTAAAAGCAGATGATTGTAGAAGGTATTAATAACTAATTGGTGTTGAGAATATAGAAAGTGGCCAGACGACTATGTAATAAAGATATAAGTAGCATGAGATGAGCAGAAAGCAGCAGACAGATAGTATTAGACAGATAAAAGCAAAGAGAATATAGTTGGTGTGAAGTTAAGTAACGTAAAAGTGATAGGCCTAACGACTGACATAGGCCTAACATTTAATATATATTAGAGTGAAACTAACAGTGGAAAAGGAAATAAGAAAAAAATAAGTTTATCCCGTCAAAGCAAAATTCTAAAGTAATTGAATCAGTCTGAGTACACTTTGACAAAAGGAACATAGGATCTTCAGAAGAAAGAAGACCACGATCATAAGTGAATCACACCAGACTAATATTGCGATAGTATTAGAGAAAATAGGTTGGCTTCTCAACTGAAATTCTAAAGTAATTGAACAGGCCTAAGTGGACTTTTCACAAGAAGAGGAGAACTATACACATACTGATATAACATTTATGATATGCTTATATTCTCTCTAGTGTGAATACTTTATTCTACATGCATTTAATTTTTTCGAATATTTATTGTTTGAAAACAACTAAAGTGTGTGCTGTTTATTCATCATTGAATTTATCACTAACAAGTCACAGACACCTACTGTAGAAGAATCCTAAGCCCAACAACAACATGGTATGTATTTATACTATTAAACAATATAATTAAAGCCATTTATTTCGACAATTGTCAAAAACAAGAACTTGTATATATTATATTATTTTCTTTAATCTGACAATTGGTGAGCCACAGCCAGGATTGTACAGTGGTAAATGGCGATAGAAGAAAACGTGAACGACAGCAGAAAGAAATAGGCCTATCTATATACACACACAACTGTAGTAGTAATGAAAATAGTATAGAGATTAAAATTCTTATCCTTCATCTTATTTCTTTGGGGAAATGACAATTATCCCAAGCATGCAACAATTATGGTGAAACAATACGTGGAAGTAATAATAAGCTGATAAAATACTTGCAGTTAGGCTTGGCTTGTACAAAATACCAATATGAATATTTATTAAGACTGCAGAGGCTTATATGGAAACTGAGAAGATTAAATACCAACCAATCAAGTTTGCTGAATTCTAGAGAGTAATGTGGGACACATATCGATATTTCACACTCCCACATTGATATAATCATTGTGTACTGCTCTGTTTAAATGAAATACAAAATACTAGTACATTGTACAACTTCACTTTTCTATTTTTTCTTATAACATACTATACTAATAATAAATTTGCCACTATGCTGAAATTATTCATTAATTATAATTCCAGTTTGTTTATCACCTGTGCATTTCCATAATTATTTCCAATACTGTATACACCTATAGTATATTGGTAAATCAAGTCATTTTGTTGTATCAGTACAGGATTTGAAAATTTTCAGGACAAAAAATCCTCATTAAATTAGTGTTAAGACTTGGTTATTTCATGTTTCCCAACATTCTGGAACATTATATTGTAACCCAGTTAGTTGTCATGAGAGCTAGCTAAACTGAATATATAGAAAATCAAATTTGGTTCAACTGTACTTTGTCCTTATCTGTGATTACACTACAAACTGGAAGATGATGTGTGTTGAAGGTCTAATGATGTACCATGTTTGAGTTCAAGAATAATTTAATCCTGGTTCTTTGGTTGATAAAGCATCTCCAGTGAGAGCCGCAATCAATGCAGATTTTTTTAACATCATGTTAGGCCATTATATTGTTACTAAATCCAGTTAATACATCTGCATTCTTTCTTTGCATCATATAGTGTATTTATAAACTACTATTTTATCAAACCCAGCTAATCTTGATATATATAATATCTCTTCTTTATAAAATCTAATTAATATTGATATACATCAGACTAGTGTATTATCTAACAATTTTATAAAAACATGAAATATGAAACAACTACAACATAATGTTTTTGGTATGCTCAAAGATTTAATTGATCACTATACTTCAGTATTATGTACTCTTCCCTCCAACAGATATCCGAATGCCACTGATATGGAAAGATAGTGATCACTTCAAGAATAAAGGAGATTACAGAAGGTTTGGTGTCTTCTGTCTACTTAAAATTGGAAGCAAGATAGCTGATACAGAAGTAGTTTGGAATGTTGATCGTAATATGACGGATATCTCCTTTGGCAGTGTGTCAGTTTTGTAAGTTTAAATTTTTTAGCATATGTCTTCATGCTACTAATTCATTTATTCTTAATGCCATCTATGCTGTTAGTTTTACTTTATTAAGTTAATTAAGATTTTATGTTAAAAAGTGTAATTTATCAATGTTAACTATATAAAATGTTAAGAAAGATGAGTGTTTTGCACTGAATTTTACATTTTGTGTTTCAATAATAGCAAAAATCAAGGGATGACTCATTAACTGTCTCAACATAAGGTCGGTTGAAGTGACTGACCTCTTAACCACTTTTTACTTGTTATAGTTTCCATACTATGTGTATCTTCACAAAATTTGGCAAACAAAAAAGCATTTTTTAATGAAGTATTTACTGAGGATTTGTGAATATATTAGATCTTTCTTTGACTAGTCCAAGTGCAAAGTGAATTTTAAATTATGATTAAAAATACTTCTCTTTGTCTCAAAATTCTCAAATCTTATTTGTGTAATCTCCAAAACCTCTTAAATAAATATAAAGCCTTTTTTCTTCAGTAAATCTTTATATTTTTATCTGTTGTTATCTCTATCCTAACAATATATTTGATTATTCAGCCAGTAGACAAATCATTAAAGTACAATGAAAAGAAAAGTTCTAAAATCAGAAATCAAATGAGCAGCTGTGCTCTTGTTTCGTTATTTGTTATGAAGTTTTTCGACGTCCTTGTCTTGAGAGTTTAAAATGCTAAACAATTCACATTTATTTTCTGTGTTTATTTTCACTGTCAATGACTGAAATAGAAATATGTTGAAAATAAAGTAACAAATCACCACTTGTGTCCTTAGACTGTTTACGTGCCACTGTAATACAATACTCTTAAGAGCAACAAAGCACACATGAATAAATAAGTTGACTTGAACCCTGCTCTGAGAATGCGATGTGAAATTTACTCTTAAGAGCAACAAAGCACACATGAATAAATAAGTTGACTTGAACCCTGCTCTGAGAATGCGATGTGAAATTTATCAGCTTATATATCCTACAGTGTTTACAATGAGAATCCCCCAGAGTAATGATATTGTTCTTTGAATTTGTGAAAATGTTTATTATATGGTTTAAAGCCTTTTGGGATGTTTGGAATTTAGTGGTATACTGTATAAGTATACAAAGATGTTATTTGTGTGCATGTTATGAAATTCTATTTCCATTTCAGCAAACTTATTCATAAACCAATAAATACTATTTATTCACAAATGCTTAAATTTTAGTTATTTTTATTAAAACATAGAAAATATATAAAAAAAATACTTTAAAAAACAAAGATTTAGAGTACTTACAGTTTTATGAGATTGTGTGCACATGCCTCATATGTACTAAGCTTCACCATGAGCCTCATTTATTCTTCCGAGTGGAAGGTAAAGAGATATTAATTTTTGTAGGCTTCAAATATGCATTTTAGAAAACAAAATAATCATCAGATTTCTATATTAGTGCACATAAAACCTCTGTCTTTTATCTTAGTTTCTATACAATCCATATATGATCAACAACATAGTCATTACACTTCAGTAGTTTTGGTAAAATTATGACTTAATGCTTCAAGCTAGTTACATACGACTGTCAGATTTAAGTACACGGGAAACTGCTCTTTCTCATGATAGTAACAAAAGAAGTAGGTGGGACTAGACAAGAGGTTTCAAAAGAATGGAGTAGTGGGAGGAGCCACTCTACTAGATTGTCTAAATATATTGACATCTCAGCAAATCAAAGAGGTGGGAGGTTCTTAATTTATATTCTAGCTTGTCTGTATCTCAAAATTGAGTATCTAATTCATTAACCATTGTAATGTAATCTTGTATATATTGCGAACCGTAGTGTCTGTCCGAGCTTTCATCTGTCTCCTACTCAAAAAGCTGTGCATGCAGGTAAAGCTCAACATTCACTTTTGAAATGATTGGAGAACAGGCATGAATAATGTTGATGCCAAATTTTATTTCACGAGCAGGATATTCAGCATTAAATTGTTAGGAATTGATCACACTATCATTCACATTTCAAAATGTAATGTATCTTAAAGAATACAAATGTAGATTTACTGTATGTTACTGTTCAGCGGCTCTTAGCATGACAGAAATGCTCAACAATTACTTTTTGCATTGGGTGGTATAAGTAGCTCAGAGCTTTGGCTCTGAGTGAAACCAAGAGTGCAACATATTTAACTTTTTTAAAGCCCATGAAATAACTTAAATTGACAGATTAACTTAAACTTTTTCTTTCATTGGGGATGAGTACTTTTGCTAGATTAAATTAAACTTTCCCCATCACTGAGCATGAATACTTTTGCATGTAAAATATAAACTGATCAATAAGACAATAGGAGGTTCTTTGTGAGAAACAAAAATTGATATTTACAATTTTTTCTTTATATATCCCACAAAACATGCTCGTCCTTTCCAAAGGGGAAGGCTGTCAAGTGGGTTGCATCCTTGATGTAAGAAACAGCTTTAGAAACGATGGCAGAGCAAGATTTGCCATCGGCTCGACGGTCCGCAAGGACTATGGGAAACAAAAAAAATAAATAAATATCCTTTTAAATTAAGAAAGTAAAACATATATAGTATTAAAATTTGAATTATAAACTGTGTTTTAATGTCAATTCTATTGACATAAATAATAGTTATTGTTATGACAGCGGAAGTCACATGATGCTGGTGGCGTGTGCGAGAAGTTTCTCGAATGATCGTGAATCTCCTAGTTTGTTTGGGACGCCTCTTTTTTAGTATATAAGCCCAGCAAATAAAAGAAGAGATGCAGATAGATTGAAGATATAGATAATTGAGTCAAGCGAACAGTAGGCACCGTAAGTAAAGTGTGTGAATCACTGTGATTTATAGCATGTGTTATAAAAGTTGTTAAGTGTATTACAAAGTTGTATCAAGAAAGAATAAACTAGTTTTAATTAAAAAAGGACTTGCATCGCTGAAGTTCCTCGGAAAGACTTAATACCGGAAATTATCAAACAAGCAGATACATAACAAATTGGTGTCAGAAAGTGGGATGGGAAAAAAAAAAGATGGAAAGATGGCAAATCAAACTACAGCTTAGCAGATGTAATGGCAGCAATACAAGAACAGCAACAGAAACAAGAAGAATGAGAAGATAAACAAGAAAACAGACTATAGCAGTGGTTGGAGGAGAAAGAAAATAAACAAGAGGAGAGATAACAGCAGTGGCAAGAAAACCTGCAACAGTGGCAGCTCGAACAACAAAATAAACAAGAAGAGAGATTACAGCAGTTGTTGGAGAAAAAAAAAAGGAAACAAGAAGAGATACTACAGCAGTGGCAACTGGAACAAGAAAGGAAACAAGAAGTACAACTGGAAAAGATTAGTAATTTTCAAAGTGAATTAAATACATTAAAGGATGATTTACTGTCTTTTACACAAGGAGGATATATTAGCCATGGACCTAATCAGCAGCAGACAACAGGAAGCCCCTTCCAGACCCTGCAGCTAAACCCTAATGCAGACATCTTCAGTCCTTCCAGAAGTCACATTCTAGACACGAGTGTCATCAATAGGGGTGATCTAGTATGAAGGAAGCCACAGGAATTCGATGGGAAGGCACAATGGGAAGCATATAGAG